ATTGTGTTATCGGACCTATATGAGATAGGGTGACGTGGGATCACCCCCGGGTATGGGCATGGTAAGGTTATTCAGCGATTGCTTGGCCTTTGGAACAACTCTGGGCACGTTCGAGGACGAACATATGTTTAAGTGGGGGAGGATGTAATGACCCGACCGATCGTTTTAAGCTGTTGTACTTTGCTCGCTAGTTCTCTGACATGACTAGCCCTGCGAGATGTATTATGACTTATGTAAATCGTTAGTTTTGGTTTTCAGGGTAATCAGAATGGATTTGGAAGAACAGTTCTCAATTTGAAACTTAAAATTTGAAAGGTTTGACCAAGTTTTGACTTGTTAGAATATGATCTCGGATTGGAATTTTTATGATTTGGTTAGCTCCGTTAGGTGATTTGGGACTTAAGAGCGTGATCAGAATGTATTTTGGAGGTCAGTGGAAGGTTTAGGCTTGAATTGGCGAAATTAGAATTTTGGCGTTGTCCGATTGATAGGTGAGATTTCGATATAGGGGTCGGAATGGAATTTCGGAAGTTGGAGTAGGTCCGTTGTGTCATTTGTGATATGTGTGCGAAATTTCAGGTCATTCGGACGAGGTTTGATAGACTTTTTGATCGAAAGCAAAATTTGGAAGTTTTTGGAATTCTTAGGCTTGAATTCGATGATGATTTGGTGTTTTGATGTTGTTTTGAGCATTCCGAAGGTTGGAACAAGTTTGAATGATGTTATGGGATATGTTGGCTTGTTTGTTTGAGGTCTCGAGGGCCTCGGGGTGAGTTTTGGGTAGTTAAACGGATCAATTTCATGTTTTGAAAGTAGCAATTTTGCTGGTATTTTGTTGCAAGTATTTTGCTCTTCGCGATCGCGTAGACTATTTTGGGGCTGGGGTGAAGTTATTCTATGCATTTGTAGTAGAGGGATTCACGATCGTGGTTGTTTGAGAAGTTGTGCTTCGCGAACGCGTGGGCAAGGCCGCGTTCGCGTAGAAGAAAGTGGGCTGGTGAGCGGTGGAAGGCATTGTTCTATGCGATCGCGTGGGGATGGTCGCGATCGCGTGAGTTGGCTAGGCTATGTTTCGCGATCGCGTGTGTTGTTCCGCGATTGCATAAGGTTGTTATGAGGGGCAGTCCTTTTGTGTTTCGTGATCGCGAGGCAATTTCTGCGATCGTGATGAAGGAAAAATCTGGGCAGAATGTTTAAGTTCAAAATCGAGAGTTTAAGTCCAATGCCACAAAAACTATTGGAGAGCTTGGGAGAAGGTGAAATTTGAGGAGATTTTCAGTGGAGCTATTGGGGTAAGTATTCTTCACTCATATTTGGTTTAATTCCATGATTTAGTCTTGAATTTCATCATTTAATTTGAGAAATTAGAGTGGAAATTGGGGAAAAATGAAAGAAAAGTTTGAGAATTTTTTTGGGGATTTGAATGGGCATTTGATGTCCGATTTGGATGTTCTTTGTATGTATGAATTCGTGAGAGTGTAAGGATTCTAGTTTTATAATTTTTATCGGAATCCGAAACGTGAGCCCCTGGGGCCGGGTTTGGCCAATTTCGAAATTTTTGGTATAAATTGGATATTTTCGAATGGGCTTTGTTCCCTTAGCATGTTTTGATGGTATGAATATGCTTTTGGCTAGATTTGATGCATTCGGAGGCGGAGTCGAGAGGCAAAGGCATCACGGGCTAGAGTTAGACCGGATTGAGGTGAGTAATATTTTTAAATATTGTCCTGAGGGTATGAAATCCCGGATTTCACATTGTTGTGCTATATTGAGGTGACGCACACGCTAGATGACGAGCGTGGGGTCGTGCACTATTGGGGACTATGACTTAGTCCATCCCGTATGATTGTTTTATTGCGTATTTGATTTAAAACGGTTTGCTATCATCATGTTTTGGGCTGAATGCCATATTTGGGCCTCGTACCAACTGTTTTGGACCCTTAGGGAATTTTTACTACTATTCCTCACTGATTTGACTTTATACTTGTACTCAGTCATGATATATTCTACTATTTTATAACTCAGTCATGTTTACTCTGTTTTGACATCTTAAATGATATTTTAAGCTGAGCATCATATTTTACTGTGCCCGAGTGGTTTTAAGAATTTCTGACTGAGTAGGGCTGATGGCCTGTGTCTTGAGGTTATTATGGGATCGGGTTGCACGCCGGAGCAGTGTTGTACTGATTTATGATTATGAGGCTGAGGGCCTGAGTTGTTATGCCATGAGGTGGCTTGATATGAGGCTGAGAGCCTATTGATTATGTCACGAGATGACTTGATATTGCGCTTGGGCCGTAAGGGGCCCCTCCCGGAGACTGTACACCCTCAGAGAGCGTGGGTACCCAGTGTGTGATGTGATTTAGCCCGAGGGGCTGAGATTGTTCCATGTTATTGCCCGATGGGTTGATACAAGTGATTATGAGATAGCCCGAGGGGCTGGTTTTGTTGGTATTTTGCCCGAGGGGCTGATTTTATGTGTTTACCTTTTCTCACTATTTTTCATTCACTTGTTTAACTGTTAAAAAGGTTTTGAAGAAGCTTATACTGAACTAAGGTAGTTTACAAGTTCTCATTGTTTTATTGCATTGTATTGGTTTACACCGCCTCTTTGTAGCATTTTACTATGTTTTACGAGTTTTCTTATCTCTCAACTGCTTTTACTTTTATTACTCACTGAGTTGGCGTACTCACATTACTCTCTGCACCTTGTGTGCAGACTCAGGTAGTTCTGGACTCAGTAGCGGGGTGTTGATTGCTCAAGGGCAGAGTCATTGGAGTTAGCAAGGTAGCTGTTCGATTTTCGCAGCACTGCTTTTCTCCCTCTTGTCTTCCTTAGACTGTATTTAGTACATTCTTAGATTCTTGTTGTATTCAGACCTTAGTAGATGCTCGTGACACCCTGATGGCGGGCTTGTGTATTTATTCCGCATTGTTCATCTTGACTTACATTATGTGATATTTGATTAATTAAAGGCTTAAAAATTGACTTTTATTGATTAATGATTAATTCGGGAGTTGTGTCGGCTGACCTAGTTTTATGATAGACGCCATTACGACCGGATTGATTTTAGGGTCGTGACACTTTTCCCCTATAAATATAGGGGTTCTATTCCATAATAATTCATCTCAAATCAATAAGAATTTTCTCTCTACTTTTCTCTGCAATATTATTCTTTTTCTTTTATTTTTTTTAACATTTATGATTTTCTTATCCAAAGACTATAAAATGAGTTGACGCATGCGTATTCTTTTCAAAAGAATATTTAATGAGTTCTCTTTTCCAAGTTAAGACTTTTCTGCTTGCTAACGTGAATTAAATCTCTTTTGGTTAATCAAATAAATATGAACCGCTAGATCTTTCAAAAGACACGTGTTAAAGTTATAAGGTTGATGATATGAAGAGATTGTGAATTGACTACTTTAAGTGAGATGTAGATGCTGGCAGTGGCAGAGCCACCATTCGCGTGAAAAAATACACTATGTAAGTAAGTAAAAAAATTATATGTAAAATAAATTCAGCAATCATTTTGTTTATAAACTCAGAGTTTTGAAGAATGGCCAGGTGCACCATTCTTTTATTGTAATTTCTGATGTAAGTTTGAGGTTAGGCCTAGTCCCCCTTAGTTTCCTCATGATAAATATATATATATATATATATTGACTCCCCGAAGATGGGCCCATTAACAAGTCATGAGAAAGAAAATCATGTTATGCAATAGTACTATAACAGCTACTATTGAATTTATATACGATGATTTCTAATATGAATTTGTTACCGATTGTTTTTGAATTTACGTGTAAAAAAAGTTCTTTACTTGTATGACATCGAAATATTTATTTGAGATGATTACTACTATTTGAATATTCTCATTAGTTCTGGACTTGTTCTACCGTTTCTTGAGATAGATTTACTGTTATTGAGATTAAATTTCATAATTTAATAAGAACTCGAATGCCCTGTATTGTTTTAAAAATATTTTGAAATGAGTATTTATTGATTATAAAGACATGTATGAATGAGAGGAGGCTTTGAAAGAATCTGTAGCTAACGACGAGTTTGCGATACATCTTGTAATTTTCTAACTCCCATGTATCTATGAATTTTATCTTTAATTTGTTGACTAGGAAGACGACAACTACTTTATCTTCCTTATTAAGTCTCTTATATTATGACAAAAGGAAAAAAATAAAAAAGTGAAAATATGAAGATTTTTGGAATTTGTGGTCCTAAATAAGTCCAAATGTGACACAGAGTATTTGTGTGGTTATAAAAACTTCTCATTAATGATATAGTTGTAAGTTTAAGCTAAATTGTTACCAAATTTAGAAAGGGTTCATTTCAATTTATGTGTACATGTTTGACTAGGTATAAAGTTTAAGAAAAAAAATAACGATTTTTGGAATTTGTGGTCCTAAACAAGTTAAATAGGGGTCCAGGATATTTGTGTGGTTATAAACACTTCTCATTAAGGGTAGAATTGTAAGCTTAAGTTAAATTGTTTCTAAATTTAGAAATGGGATATTCTTTTTGGAACGGACAAAAAAGGAAATAGGTTCACATAAACTGAAACAGAGGGAGTAAGTATTTGTCTAAAATATTTACTGAAATATATGCAAATTATAATTCAGAATCGAGTAACTAGAAAAAGATTGGAGTCTCTGTTCCAAAACTAACTCAAAATTGTATTAGGAAAACTAAGTTGTTTAAAATTTGATATTTGCTAATTTATTTAGTTAATACTCCATCCGTTTCAATTTTATGTGAACCTATTTGCTTTTTATTCTGTGCCAAAAAGAATGATCTTCTTCCTTATTTGAAAATAATTTACTTTTATACAATGATTTATAACCACACAAAATATATGCGACTTATTTTACACCACAAGTTTAAAAGTATTCTCTTTTCTCTACGTGCCCAGTCAAATGTGTTCCATCGTAAAAATAAATTTTCATATTTCTAGTTCAAACAGATTCTGTAATATTTTAAACATAGTAATAAAAAAATTGTAAACACCACTTGGTCTTTCAAGAAAGATCAGTTTAAACTACGGTATTAGTTTGAACTCTCATTCGCACATAGACAGACAGCCGTAATATGGAGAGAGACTTGGAATTTGTAATAGACGAATTGATGATCAATTCAGGGAACGCGGTGGAAAGTGTAACGGAGACACTTAACTCAATATCAAGTGAGATAAAAAGATTGTTGCAGATGCTAAAGGATTTTGGTGCCAAAGTGTTAGTGACGCTAAAGAATGTTGGTGGCCAAGTGTTACTGACGCTGAAGAATATTGGAGGAGAAATGGTGGTGACAATGAAGAATATTGGTGGTGGATTTGCTAGTTGGTTTAATAGGGTGTTTCCGCCGGAAACTAGAACCGAAAAGATCAAAGAATGGTGTAAGTTTGCTTTATGCTTCATAGGGATTCTAGTTATTCTTTATGTAAGCTTTTATGTTGGAAAAGTAGGGGCGGAAATAATGAAGAATATTTTTGGTAATGGATTTCCTAGTTGGTTTACTACGGTGTTTCCGCCGGGAACTAGGGTTCAAATGATCAAAGAATGGTGTCAGGTTGCTTTATACATCATAAAGTTTCTGCTGCGTTCGACTGAACAAGATGATGAAAGCTTTCGTGTTGGAAAAATGGTGGCGACAGTAAAGAATTTTGGTGATGGATTTGCTGACGTGTTTCCGCCGCCGGGAACTAAACTCCATAAGATCAAAGAATGGTGTCAGGTTGCTTCACCTTTCATTGGTTTGCTGCTGCGGTGGCTTCAAGAAGATGCTGAAACCTATTATCAGGGAGTGAAATCGCAGCTGGAGCTGACTAATTTAGAGGGTGAAAGCTCTATGTATGCGGCGGTGCTGGGACTGATACTGCTACTGCCCAATTATCTGAAGGAAAAAAATGATAAAATAAAGCCAGGCAAGAATTTATAGTACAGTAATAATTAATTCCAAGAATTTATAGTATAATAACAACCCTTTATAGTGGCAGCAAAAGCACAAGGACCGGTGATCGGAATCGATCTCGCCACTACATACTCATCCGTCGACGTGTTGCCAGGACCGATGATCGGAATCGATCTCGGAACTACATACTCATCCGTCGGCGTGTGGCAACACGACCATGTTGAAATCATTGCCAATGGTCAAGGTAACAGAAGGACGCCATCCTACGTTAGTTTCACTGATTTGGAGCGTCTCATTGGTCATGTCGCCGAAAAAGAAGTCGCTAGGAACCCTACCAATACTGTCTTTGGTAAGATCTCGTCTTTTTGCGGTTTTAATATATCAGATTTTTCATACCATGTTATGTATGCGAAGAGCTTTATATTTTACTGATTTCTGTTCTACTTGATAGATCCGCGATGTTAATGTATGATTGCATATAAGTATTGATAACACTCAACGAAATTCTAGGCAGAACTTTCGTGTTTAAAATTAATTCACATGTTAAAGATTGGACTTAAGACGTACTTGGTGAATAGAATTTCGTTTCAAAAAATTATTTGATAATGCGAACATTTTATGCGTATCCACGCCAAGATCGATCTTTCTTATCAACTCTTCAATCAATGGAACCGGCGAACAAAAGTATTATGCTGAAATTGTTCTCAGAAACTTTCAGCACGACAAGGAAAACAGTTTTCTTGTCTGATTAGCAGATAGAGCTCGGCTATTGTCTGATGATAGTGTTGTTATGAAGAACATACAAAATTTTGGTTTGATCATAAGCATGTTAATGTGTTACTATTATGTGAAAATTCTTGAAAGTTTGTTTATGGCTGTTTTGGAGCTTAAGCACACCGGCTATAAAAATTATTTAGTTCTTGAAAACCACATGCTGATGTTAACCTGAACTTTTGCACCATGCAGCTGCTAAAAGGTTGATAGGTAGGAGATTTAGTGATGCCTCTGTGCAGAGTGACATGAAGTTGTGGCCATTCCAGGTTGGTGCTGTTGCTGGTGATAAGCCGCCGAGGATTGGAGTCTACTACAAGGGTGAGAAGAAACAGTTTACTGCTGAGGAGATCTCAGCTATGGTGCTCATGAAGATGAAAGAGATTGCTGAAGCTTTCCTTGGCACAAGTGTTAGGAATGCTGTGGTTACTGTTCCAGCCTACTTCAATGACTCTCAGCGTCAGGCCACCAAGGATGCTGGTGTTATTGCAGGCCTGAATGTGATGCGTATTATCAATGAACCTACAGCAGCTGCCCTTGCTTATTATGGTCTTGATAACAAAGCTACGGGTGTTGCTGAGAAGAATGTGCTAATCTTTGATCTTGGTGGTGGTACATTGGATGTCTCTATTCTCACAATTGTGGAAGGTAGTCTCTTTGTGGTGAAAGCTACTGCTGGAGACACCAGCCTTGGAGGCGAGGACTTCACCAATAGGTTGGTTAACCATTTTGTTCAGGAATTCAAGATAAAGAGCACAAAGGATATCACTAGTAATCCTATGGCGCTCCAAAGGTTGAGAACTGCATGTGAGAGTGCAAAAAGGACTCTTTCATCCTCTGCTCAGACCACCATTGAAATCGTCAATCTATACGAGGGTATTGACCTTTCTTCCACCATCACACGTACTAAGTTTGAAGAGCTTAACATGGATCTGTTTGCAAAGTGTGTGACATCAGTTGAGCGCTGTTTGAGGGACGCTCGGATGATCCAGATCTCGGTTCATGATGTCGTCCTGATTGGTGGTTCCACTAAAATCCCAAAGGTCCAACAACTTTTGCAGGACCTTTTCAATGGAAAGGAGCTATGCAAAAGCATCAACCCTGATGAGGCTGTTGCTTATGGTGCTGTAGTGCATGCTGCAATTTTAAGTGGTGAGCGTAAGGTGCAGGACCTTTTGCCGTTGGATGTTACTCCTCTTTCCCTTAGTGTGAGATCTGATACTTCTCATAACAATGCTGTAACGTCGATTCCCAAAAACACCACTATCCCAACAAGGAATAAACACTTTACAATCTACCCCCACACGAAAACGATTCAGGTCTTTGAAGGTGAGAAAGTGAAGATCACGGACAACAACTTGCTTGGCGAATTCGAGCTCTCTGGCGTTCCTCCTAAAAGTCCTCAAATCACAGCGCGCCTTCAAATTGATGCCAATGGTATCTTGAATGTCTCTACTGAGGACACGACGAATGGTAAGAAGAACAAGATTACAGTCACCAATAACAAGGGCAGACTCTCGAAGGAGGAGATCGAGAAGATGGTTCAGGAAGCAGAGAAGTACAAATCTGAGGATGAGGAACACAAGAGGAAGGTCAAGGCAAAGAATGCTTTGGAGAACTACTCAAACAATATGAAGAAAGCTGTGAAAGATTACAAGGAGACGATTGAGGATGCCACCGAGCAAAGCAACCAATGGCTCAACGGCAACCACCTTGCTGGGGCTGATCAAATTGAGGGCAAACTGAAGGAGCTACAGAGCCTCTGCAACTCAATGACTGCAAAAATGTACCCTGGGGCAGGAGGCGACATGTAAGTGGGTGTGCATTATTCGGATTAAATCGAAAAACCAAATCGAATTTTAATTTGGATTGGTTTTTTGGTTTGGTTTCCGATTGAGAAATTAAAATTTTCAGTTTTTTGGTATGGTTTCGGATTTAGAAAATTAAAAACCGATAAACAGAAAATTTATGTAATATTATAGTTTTAAACTACTCAGGCGGATCCAACATTTCAAAAGAATGGGTGCACAATTATGAAGAGGTAAATCTAGGATTTACATTTGACGGATTTAACTATAGTGTCTTACCATGAACTCACTATACTTTTGAAATTATAGGTTCAAAATTATATTCTTTTTGAAATTGTAGTGATTTTCATTATATATCTATATTTCATGTTGAAAATAAGACCATCTAGTGTGGGATTTGAACCGCCAATTTTGCTAGGAGTCTTTGAGCATGGGGCACGCACATATATTTTAGTAGTTTTAAAAAAATATAATATTGTTATACATGATTTAAGGAAAGGAGTATGGGTTCACGTGAACCCTGGATTATCCTAGATACGCCCCTGACTCAAGGATGTATCATTTTGATATCCCCTAATCATGTGTTACCTTTGTTCTGGCGGACTCTCACTCAAAGAATCCATTCCCACTAAATTTTTGTGATCTGAAAGATCTAAGGGAAGAGCAGTAAAGCAACAATTCACCACAATCAAAGCGTAGGAAGGGCAAAAACCAGGTGATAATCCCTTTATGAGTTAGAAATTTGAGTTTGATCTTTAATCTTCACTCTAGCCATTAGCTTTTACTTGATTTCTAAAAAATGGTTTTGGGGTATATGTGAGTTTTGTGGAGTTTCTTGGTGATTTGTGTTGGTTTTTGCAGTTTCGCTCTTTGGGGTGGTCAAAGTTCAGTTGGTTGGTTATTAGGATTTCACCTTGTTAATGAAGGTCAATTACATCAACCTAAATCTTATTTTCATAATCTTCGTTTTAGATAATCTTAGTAATGTTACTGGTTAGTTGCTTGAATTTTTACTTTTAATTATTGATGAGAGTTCGATTTTCATCTTGTAATTCCTTCCATAATTCCCCTCACTACCCTATGTATAATTAAAAAAGAAAAAGGTTGCATTCCAAGAAAGCCTAATTTTAATATTTTTATATCAATATATGTTTTGTCAAGTAAATTTGATTTTTTATTGCAGTAGGCTTCAATTTTTACGGTATTTGTTGGCGAGCCCTTTGTTTGAGTATCATTATTTTTTGGCAAAATACCTTAAATCACCCCTAAATTTAGCTCAGATTATTAGTATCCTTCTCGAACTATGTCGGGTCTTAATTTCCTCCCTCAACTTGGCCTTTTGAAAGACATTACCCCCTAGACGCTGATGTGGCAAAAAGTGTGGGTGTCCTCGCTTGTCACGTGGATTTTTTTTGTATATGTGATTTTTTTTTTGAAAAATAAAATATATTTTTACCGTTTTAAGAATATTACTTTTTTTAGATAAATTTTTTCGAATACAATTTATAATAAACTTGGATAAAACTACATTATTTAGGCTAAATATTTTTATTTGGCCAAAAATAATAAAGTTTTAGTTAATCTTTTTTTGAATTTGACCTGAAAATAAAAATTTATACAAATGAAATAAATAGTTAAAACATCTAAAAAGTTATAAAAAAATACATAGTTTGAAATTAATTATTTTGGCTATAATTTTTGTACAGCTCTAAATTACGGTGCTCTAAAAAAAAATTTGTTACAGATTTACCTAAAAAAGTAAAAACACACAGTTGAAATAAATAGTCATTGCATCAAAACAAAAAATAAAAAGAATGTATTGATGCAATGACTATTTATTTTTTATAACTTTTTAGATGCCTTAACTATTTATTTCAATTGTATAAATCTTTATTTTCAGGTAAGAACAAAGAAAGATTAACTAAAACTTTATTATTTTTGCCCAAATAAAAATATTTAGCCTAAATAATGTAGTTCTATCCAAGTTTTATTATAAATTATATCCAAAAAAAATTTATCTAAAAAAGTAATATTCTTAAAACGTTAAAAATATATTTTATTTTTCAAAAAAAAGCCACATATACAGAAAAATTCACGTGGCAGGTGAGGGCACCCACACTTTTTGCCACATCAGCGTCTAGGGGATAATGTCTCACAAAAGGCCAAGTTGAGAGGGATAATTAAGACCGAACATAGTTCGCAAAGAATACTAATAATCTGAGCCATATTTAGGGGTGGTTTAAGGTCTTTTGCCTTATTATATTAATGTGAGAATTATTACGGTATCATAGCTGACAGAATTCCTGATTTAGTTCTTATCCCATTAGTACATAAATTTTATTTTTATAACGTATAGGTCACAGCTTGAAAGCAAAGCAACATAAAAAATTATTGCACTCTTACACTTTAGACAATTTTAAAGGTAAACAATCACATAGTAAAATCACAGTTATTCGTTAATTAAAGAGTGATGGAAAGGAAAAGTAAAGAAAAAGGGAAAACAACTTTCGGTTTTATAAAATATGCCCTGGGCCAGTGTTTAAGGTTTGTTCTCTAAAATGGTTGGAGTGGGACCCTGCTAATTTATATTCTGGTAGGAATTTGCAAATTATTATGATTCTTACTTCTATAGACAATAACGTTTCTTTTTCTAAAGACTATTTAATAAGTTAATGGGCCAAGCGCAACAAGTTATTTACGGGGATTTGCATCTATACCTAGTTTTTGGGTATCTTTTAACTTATATTTGTTTTACAAAAAAATTGTAAGCGTATCCATTTTTCGCATAACTTCAGCCATACGGGCCTGAAGTAGCAAAAATTTATGTCTGAAGTTTGAATTTCAGAATTTTTTGTCTGAAGTTTGGCCTGACTTGCAAAGACAATCACGCAAACTTCAGTTCATAAGCAAGGACAAACTTCAGGTCAATTGTTTATGTCTGAAGTTTGAAGTTCAGAATTTTTTGCCTGAAGTGTAGCCTTATCAAAGAAAAACTTCAGATATTTTTACCTGAAGTTTGACCTAACTTGCAAAGGCAATCACGCAAATTTCAGTTCATAGTGCAAGGGCAAACTTCAGTTCAATTGTGTATGTCTGAGTTTGAACTTCATAATTTTTTGCTCGAAGTGTAGCCTTATCAAAGCAAAAGTTCAGACAAATTAGTCCCTAATTAGAAATGTCGAGTAAGTACCTGTTGAAATTTTGAACCTTAAGCAAAGGAAGAGATGAGTTGTTAAAAGATTGAGAATGAGCTAGAACGAGAATGAGCTAGAACTACTAATAATATATGGAGCAGAATTGTTTATGGAAGTTTATAGAGCATTGATGATTGGTCTAATTTTTTATGAATGGTTCCAGGATTTAAGCATCATATCTAGTCATCCTAATCGTGATAGTGCAAACTTCAAACAAATTAATCTGAAGTTCTTTAATTTGCAGTACAAATTTCAGGACAAAATCAGCTTGTTATATTTGAACTTCAGTTAGTGCAAGCTTCAAATAATTTGTAGTGCAAATTTCCACATCAGTAAAGTCAAGATAACACAAAGGCTTTATATAAGCTTACATCACTGAGTTTTATACAACAAGCTATGGCGATCTTGACAACTACAAATTACCTCAGCAAAATTAGTGTTTCTGCTGAAGGTCTAATCTATGACATAGATTAGTAACGGTATAAATATCTCTGCAGGCGATAAATCTTGCCAGAACATATTTAGGTCCTAAATCTAAGATTTTGCATACGAACGTATCGTGAACAATTAGAGTATTTATAATTTGACGACAATACAGTCATCGAAAAGAAGCAAGAAGAGTAAAAGGTTAGAGAGAGAGAAAAGATGAAGGAGAGGAAAAGAAGAGGAGGAAGAAAGGAGTGCATAGTTCAGGAATAAGAAGAAGAAGCGTCTGAAGAAGAGGAGAAGAGGAGGCGTCCGAAGTTGGCAAAATTAGAGTATAGGTTAAATAATTTTAAAAATATGGGTATAAGTATTTTGCGCTATTTACATCTGATAGCCAAAAAAAAAATTTAAAATTTGTATAATTTTTATATATAACATACATAATGTATATATGTATACAAAAAATATACAAATTTTATATATTTTTTCGACTATTATTTTTACAGCGGCTATACAATGTCATTTTTCCTAAATTATTTTCCAAGTTATGCTTTTTCTACTAGCTTGCGTCAAATAATGGTAAGAAACTGGCACTAATTTACCAGTGCCTGCGACCCAATGAGTACATAATCATGTCTTCACGTAAAAAAAGTTACAACTTATAGTATTTTTTGTTGTTATATATCGTTTTTTAAGAGTCACGTTTTGTGAACTTTAATTAATATTTTAAAATATATTTTTTTATTTTAATGACATGAGAAAAATTATAACTTATAGTATTTTTTGTACGGTTTTTATATATATAATATTTTATTTTTAAGATATAAAATTGATCCATCCAATTTGGTTTTGAAGATTAATCAAACTAACTCTTGAAAAGCTAAACGTGAAAAATAATTTGAAACTGATGGAGTATTAATACATCTTCCCACCTTAATTTATGTCTTAAGCATGGCAAACTAGTATTGTTTAATTTGATGTGGATATCAGGTGTAGTTAAATTTTTTGGCAGGCACTATATATTGAGTTTATTCGTAAAATGGTACTGTTAAATTTGTTATGTAGTTTATAGGCATGCGAACTGATTTGATCAAAAAATGGTAAATCAACAAGATTAAAAATAAGACTTAACGATTAAGATCGAAGAAGATGCCAAGCCTGGCTACGAGAACAGCGTGTCCGAGGACAGAACCAAGAACAATGTAAAAGCAAATAAAATTATTTTAATTGAGAGCGAAAATATAATACAACATAAGTTTTGCCAAGAATTTTGTATCCTACAATGGCTGTTAAGCCTATTATTTATAGTTATACCTAAGGAAATGAGATCTTAGTTTCAAGCCCCGGTTAAATGATAATAAAGGAGCCATTGATGAGCATGTAACGGCAGACCATGAATGCAAAAATTCTCTGCAACAGCTTCCCATTTAATGCTAGGGAATATTCTTCATCGAATGTTATCCGATGTTAAGTACGTCGACCATGCTCTCTTCGAGGTTTACTCGACGTCAGTTGCAGTTGTTGTTCCCGGTACTAGTTGTTGCTTTTTATTTGTCTGTGGTTCCACGTATTGCGCTATCATTCAATCATTCATTATAAACTATTTTTATCCTGTACAGACAGTCCACCTGCTTTCCGGTGACATATCTTTGTGTCATTGAGAAGTTGTGAAGATCCCTTCCTTGGCGAAAAATTTT